TTTTCAACTGGCAACGCCAATGAGTTGCCGCTGAAAGGTGCATAAATCTGTCAAATTATTCACGCACACACGCACACATACGTCATCTATCAACTTTTTTTCGCTGCTCTGAATACGTCATAAAAACGATTTAACAACCGCAAAGGCAATTGCCACGCCCCCACGCAGCTCTTCTGGGCCCTTAACAGTTACGCTTTCCTGTCGCTGTCTCATTCTCTCTCTCTCTCTCTTTCTCTCGCTCTGTCTCTATCAACAGCAAATCCTGGCTAAAGGCAAACGGAAATGGAAGCCGACGCGCGGCATAAAACAATGCCATTTATGTATGTATATAAAGTATATTTTATATATGTGTATATGTATGTATAATGTATGTATATAGCACATAGTATATCTAGTAAAATCCCGCTTTCATAGTGCCTCCCCCACTGCCCGCCTCCTGCTGCCTCTGCTCACGTTTTTATGGTCCATCTGCAGGCGCCTAATGCCGGCAATTAAAATAAACGCCAGCAGAGATGCCGCTCGACTAGGATCACAGACAGATGCCGACGCTGCCGCTGCCGCTGCTGCTATTGCTGTTGCTGCTGCCTCCAGGCTGGGATCGAAAGCAATTGCCGGGACTCGATTCGAGTGTCTGCCGTGACTTGGCCGCTCCTCGGGCTGCCAGTCTCAAGGAGCCACACAGCTGTTGGCTATAACAAATGTTCGTTTAATGAAATTTTTATTCAATCAGCGCCAAGGCATTTTAGAGGCCATAGACAGAGAGAGAGAGAATGAGAGAGAGAGAGAGAGAGAGAGAGAGCTAAGCAGACTCAAACAGCAATAGAAAATTGGGAGAGTGGAAGGCAGTCAAAGCTAGCCAGACTCAAATCACTCAGAGAAAGAGAGAGAAAGAGAGAGAGAGAGAGAGAGGGAGAGATAGTGAGAGTGGGAGTGTGAGTGGGAGTGTTAGACAACCTGTTGATGTCTTTTATGTAGCGTTAGCCGTGTGTGTGTGTGTGTGTGCGGCCCAAAATGGCAAAGATTTAGCGAAATAAATGAAAATGTAAATGTAAATGTAATAAACACAACTAACAATTCAGAGCTTTAAGCTGAAAGCTTTGATGTGTGCTTGACTTCATTTGACTTCATTTATATCAATAAGAGAGATATAAGACTTTTGCATAGCTGTATTAGACGTAGCATTAGCTAGGCTGGAATGTTTATTCAATTCAATTACGTGATCTGTTTTACAGTTCTAATGCGTTTGAAAAGCTAGTAATCTACTTACATAGCTGCAAAGTTAAATGTTTGCCCTTGATCTAGATTTTATGTTCTAGATTTAAAAAAAATATATATTTATATATATTTTTAAGTTATTTTTTATTACCAGCAATAAAATATTAAATGCCTAAAAAAGCTTAAGTTCTATTTCTTTTTAAAGGATATAATTTTTATAATTTAAAGATTCTACGAAAAGTCTTTGTGCTTAAGCTTCGATCCGTAAATTGTGTTGTTTTTTATTTATTTATTTTTTATTTTTAATTTTGCTCTTTTTATTATATTAAAAAGCCTTAAAGCTTCATTTTACTAGTCAGATATGGATTCGAATTAATTTCAGCTGTAATTCATAAATATCCTTAAGAGAGAATACGTTTCTTTGATATTGGCCGCATATGTGCGCCTCCACTAAAGAGACGAGGTCTCTTTGTGGCTGGCTGAAATCGTTTTGTTTTATTCATGATGTCACCTGGCGTCTGCTTCGCAAATATTTTTCTGTCTAATGCATAATTTCCTCGATTTTCCCTTTAATTTTCGTCATTATATTTGCGCTCTCGTGATGCCCGCAGTCAGCCCAGCGGCTGCAATTAGATGCTGTGGTTGAGCAGAGACGGGGAAAGAGCGGGCGAGAGGGGAAGATAGACAGATGGGGAAAGAGAGAGAGAGAGAGAGAGAGGGGGGTAACCACGACGTGAAAAGTGAAAAACAGTTGCTTGCGCGTCTTAGCCACATTTTCGTTATTCACCCCACACCCCTACCCCGTCCCCTTTCTCTTCACCTTTCCACACCTCAGGTGAAAACATTTCTCATTAAAGTTCTTCTTCCTCAAGTTGGCTTTCAATTAGAGAGTTTTTGTTGCGCTCTCTGGAAGTTCGGCGAATTCGGCGCAATGCCAACAGGTGCGCATTAAATTAGCATAGATTAAGCCTCAATTTTGGGAATATTCCGGCCAACTTGTTTGTCTGCACTCGAGCTTAATTAAAAAGTTTATCAAAATAAAAGAAAATTTGCATAAATTTAATTAAAGCTTTATTTCTCGGGCTGAAAACTGATTCCAGCGGGCCAAGTGAAGTGGCAACAATTAAACAGCTTACGACGGCGCTCAACACCTGTGGAAACTTTGTACCTGTGCCGATGTGCTCCACTCAGGCATAACAAGACCTCGCCTATCTTGGCTTCTGTCATCATGTGGGTCAACGAAATCAATTGACAGCTTTTCCAGCCAACTTTTCACCCAAGGAGGCGAAGACGAAGACGAACAGCAAGAAATGGCTATAAAAGCGGGCCATAAAGGTTCACCTACCTGTGCCCTATAAATAAATCATGGCCTATGATTATGCGTCACACACACACACACACACACACACTATTGATAAGACATGCTCACACCTGTTCAGGTTCCTTGGCTAGAACGAACCTTCTGACAGCATTTGACTTACTGTCAAGAGCTTTGTTTGGCCCTGTCCTGACTTGGCTTTGGTTTGTTTACATGCCACAAGCTGTGGCACGCTCAATCATAATACAATTTGACATATTGCTGCATGTTCGTAAAAGCCATTCACACACACACACACGCAAACACACAACACTATGCCCAACGTGGCGTATACGTAACGCAAAACGAAAAGGAAAAAAACCTTTTTGCAGCGATTAATCAAAGCTGACATTGGGCTCTAACAGACGTCCGCTGCATTTGCCAAATGAATTTTTGCTTAGTTTTTATACTTTTTTGGGTTTTCCTTCTATTTAAACTACAATTTGTTGGCAGCCCCTAAAAGTTTGACTCAAGCGCTATAAATAAAAGGGCAGACAACGAGAAGAAGAAGGGAAGAATTGTACTAAATGCTTGGGAATTAATTAATGCAGAAMAATCTATATATAAAATAGTA